CAGTGACTCTGAATAGGTGCCATACTCTGATAAAGTCACCTCCCAACATAAAAATCCCAACATTAAATCTGTCCCTTTCCGTAAGAGTCACCACTCCCTTCTCTGACCCCTTTCTACTATGGCTCCCTACCTCACAACAGGGGTGTGAAGAGGAGTTCTGGATTCCTCCAACCCACCCTTCACTTCCCTCCAGCTTCTTGAAAAACTCCTGAATAGGTGCCATACTCTGATAAAGTCACCTCCCAACATAAAAATCCCAACATTAAATCTGTCCCTTTCCGTAAGAGTCACCACTCCCTTCTCTGACCCCTTTCTACTATGGCTCCCTACCTCACAACAGGGGTGTGAAGAGGAGTTCTGGATTCCTCCAACCCACCCTTCACTTCCCTCCAGCTTCTTGAAAAACTCACTCTTCCCTGCTGCTCAAAGTCCTGCATTTGGGAAGTGAACTGTGATATGACAGATAAATTCTGGCACATCTGTGGCAGAAGCAGTGCTGTACTGGGGCAGCCCATAGACTTCTCTCATAGCTACACAAGAAAATGCATTCCTCCCAAGTACCAACCAGCCAGGATGAGAGAGCATGCTGTTTTCAGCTGTCCATCTGAGACATGCACCCTGCCCATGCGGAGCAGCGCCTAAGCCATCAACCACCACTACAACAAATTAACTGCTCTGTGGGCTGTGCTCTGCTCCTGGGCTACACACATCAGGGATCTGAAACACACAGTGCCATTTGCAAAATTATATTTATTTACTGACCACAAGTTTCTAAGTGTCTAGAAAGACTCCCACATTTGCATTTAGAAATGTTTTGCTGCCTGCTACTTGATAAAATACAAACAACATTATAAAGCTAGCTGCAAGACTTCAATTAGCATTTAATTTTGTCAGTTGTACTACACACTTAAAAATTTGCAGAGATCTAGATTAAAGTGATATGCAAGTGCCATGTAACTGCATTTTAGAGACAGCAATTCCTAACAAAAACATCACCTTCTACTTCCTATTGCACATCTCTTTTTGGCAATTTTTCATGTGAAGGCTCTCCAAAGCACCATAATTTTCTCAATCACCAATGTTAAAATTCTGTCAGACACAGATCTACTCCTTCTTTTTTTAAAGAGAAGGTTGCAAGAGATTTATTTTTAGAACTGTAGTGTAATGTGACTTCTTTTTAAAAGTCCCTATTGACATTGCAACAATTAATCTTTACCTCACATATACTCTTCTGAAGCAAACTTTAGGCTTTAAGACTGAAACTTCAGACAGGGCAAAAGCCTTGCCGTTTAGTTGCCAAGGCGTTTTGATGTTGCAACATTCCATAACAATGAAGTTTCACAGTAATTAGCATTTGGGATATTGTTTTGTTTAGAGAGCACACTTTAGCTGTATGAAGTAATAACCACTCAGCTCACAGAAGGATACAAATATACTCTTATAGAGAACTTCCAGTAAAAATCCTTGCTTCCTATCAAAATAAAAAGCAAAGATCATGAAGTTGAGGATTGGACCCTTTGTTTTACAAGTGGTACATTCAAGTACATTTATACCAATTTTCAAAAGATTTGGGGTAGAAAGGCTCAATTTAACTGCCAGCTGATATTCGCTACCACCACAGAAGTCCACTGAATTCTGGCATACGTTGATGATGCAGAAAGTATATAACAGCTCTGAAATCCACAGGCTTCAAAAATCTAGTTGACTCAGCCAGGGTTTCCTTCCCTATCTGATGCCATCCTAGTCACTTCAAAAGGCTTCAGGATGGTTGTGTAACAGGACCAGTTGTCACCTTTATGCATGTCTCCACATAATATCTTCCTGGTGACAGACTGTCTTTTCTGCACATGATTTCTGGAAAAACGGAACTGAAAGAGAAAGATCTGGAGCAAAGAACACACTGCTAATAAAGAACTGACAGTTTAAGAAAAGGATTGCAGATACTGCATAATAGGTCATTAAAAGACATGAAATATGGATAAATCAGCATGTGTAAAGTTACAAGGAATTGACTTCAAACTTTGCTAGCCATGTAACAAATCTAGTTTATACCTCCATTTCACTCTCTTTCTCCTACAAGTTCTTTCCAGTGCTGTACATCTACTCAGTTGCACTCAGGAGCTTTGAAGTGCTGATAAAATAAAAACTTCCAATAGAACAATCTGAATTCAAAGCTCTAGTACTGTATTTTTAAAGTAGGATTTAATAAAATATCCAACAAAAAGTTCTCAAACATTAACAATTCCTACATGTATTTAACTGCTCCCCCGTTTCACAAAATACAAGTCAGATATGTATTACTCAGTGTCACAAACCAGAACAGGAGGAAAAGAACCCTGGGCAACTAATCCTAAATTATGACAGTAACAAACAACTGAAATAAATCTCATTTGTCTGTAACACAAATATGCATAAAGTTCATGTGGTGTTTACAGAAGTAATCTTTTTCTTGGTGTCTCCTCAGAACCAAGCTGGAACAGAAAACTGAATGGACAAGTAAAATAAAAATCTCATGACCACTGAAGATGAAAACATACCTCAGAGATTCCCCAAGCCTTCATTTAACCTATTCCTCATTTAGGAACCAAACCATGTAAATTGTTTTAGGGAGGCAGAAGAGGAGTGTGTTAAGTCCCATGGTCTGGTTTTCCCAATGCAAGGTGGAACTCCTCCCTGCTTTGTGTGCCAGATACACCTATGACCAGAAAAAGAGGAGGCCCTAAAATAATTTTCTAGAACAGGCAGGTAATTTTGCCCATCTGGAGAAAGGTGATTCAGGACCAAGATCAGTCATCCAAAAAGTAAAATGATACAACTGAATGTGTATTCTGAACAAAGCTTTGTAGCAGCTTCAAAATGCAATGACGAAAATAGATGCTGTTCTGAGCAATTTTATTATTGTGCAAGAGAACAGTACCTTCCATGTCTGGAGACAAATCCCTGAAGGTTTTACGGTGTTTTCCATAGAATACCAAGTTTTCTGATGTACTAAAAATGGTGAAAGCAGGAAAAGGAGCAAAGACAGCTGTAATGTTAATAGTGTTAAGAGATGTAAGCTTATTTAGTTTTTTTAAAACTAGAGCACTGCATTTTCATTGTTACTAATGTAACTTGAAATATTATAGGAGGTCCAACGTCAACGCACAGAGCTGCAGAAACTGTCATACTATTTTCCTTTAAACCTTTCATTATTTCACCTGAAAAATTATCCCCACATTCCCTAATGTTTTGTTATTAAATGATTCTTACAATTCAAGAAGTTCAAAGCAGGAAGACAATTCAAGGATTTTATATGAACAGAATATGAGCTATTACTCTTCTTCCAAAAGTAGAGAAACAGCATTAAAGAGACATTTATTTTGCTGCTGTCAAATGTCAAAGGTGCCATGGAACACCACCAACAGAAAGGTTTTCAGCTAAAAATCTCCTGGCTATGTCCTTGCCAAGAATTAACCCCCAAATTTAAGGAAAGTAGAATTGTACGCTTTGCATTTTCACATGATCGAATGAAATGAACATACATTTTTAATGATGCCTTACATTTTACTTTTGACATTCACTCATTTTCAATCTTTCTAGTTTTACTTGAACTAAATAGGTTGATGTTGCATCTGAATTTCTCTCAGTAATTAAATGACCACAAAGTTCTGAAGTTTATTTAGCTTTTTACCTCTTGAAATTTCAGGCAGATTCTCTCTCCACTGATATCACAGCTCTATGAAAAAGTATGTTTATGGAAAAAAATCCCAGTTTGGTTTTATTTCAGTAGCAATTGAGAAAAAGACATGTCCTTAGGAAAAAAATACTAACATAAACCACAAACTTCTAAACTTTTCCAGGCATACTTAAAAGAACCCAAAATTGCCCTCCTGCATTCAGCAACAGCTGCTTCTCTCAACTCTATTTTTTCTAAAATGAGAGAGGCAAGTTGTGTAGCAACTCCTACCTGAATATTAAAGTCTCAGCAGCAAAATAAGTGAATCCATCTAATGATACCAATTAAATTTGTGAGGTTTGTTTCTACTTTTATCAAAGTCCATCAACTTGAGCTAGTCAATGCACTTAATGCAACTGTGACTCATGCAGTAAGCTCTGCACATCCTGCATTAAGGCTGATCCACCAGTTGCTCCACAAGAATGAAAACTGCATTCAATCAATGAAATTAATGTGATTCTAGACAGGAGGGAATCTGCATGAAACAACCATCAGGTCAATGGCCTGATTTATAAGGGGTTCAGATTTATAGACAGAGAAAAGAAAGACAGGCCAGGAGGAGTAAAGATGAAAGCTTGCTGTTTGGCTGTGCTCTCTTTCCATCTGTCCAGGTGAGCTTAACAGGCCCAGTTCAACTCATCACATTATCTAAAATTCACGCTTGGATTCCTACCACGATGTCTCAGTTATATCCTTTATCCCCCTTACACGGAGAAAAAAATATTCACATGCTTTCTCTTTCAGTTGAGCCTATGCTAAATGCATTAATACACGTGTTCAGACACAGCCAGTCCATGGATCAATGTTTCTCACAAACCACAACAGGCACTAAGATTTATTTTCTCCTATTCATGTTGCATTCTGTGAAGAACACAGAAAAAAAGACACTGGCTAAGCTGCTTACTAAACGAAATTCAAAAAGCCTTCCATACTGACTGAAGGTGCAGGACTGAGGAAGCTTTTTCCACTCCCTTGTACAGGAGTCATCCTGCAGGTAGTGTTCTCTAAACCCTCCTGTAGGCCAACTACTGCATCACCGAATTTGTGTCACCCAAATCCTGTTGCATCTCAGTGCTGTGACAGAACAGCCCTTCAAATTCTGTGCTGCTACTATACCCTTACCTCAGATTCGAATAGAACTCTGGGAAGGAGAAGTGTTTCATCCTAGATAGGAAGGCTTCAGTTGATATCTACTACAAGCAGAGTGTTATTTTTGCTTTGTCAGCAGTCTCCAAACACATCCATGCTGTGACCATCCATTACCCTCAAAACACAGGGAAAGCAATGGCAACTGCTACTGGATTCTCCTTCAGACCAACATTGGCTGCTGTTCAGAAGCAGGGACAGATGAAGCCAGTTCCCTTTGTTTTAGTGCAGCCTGATAACTCATTTTGAAAGATGGTAGCAAAGTCAAATGTATTTTTCTGATTATGTTTTCTCCTCTCCTAATCTTTAAGTCCGTCTTCTTCCTGAATGGTGCACTCACAAACTCCTCTTGCTCTTTAAACTTCTACCTTAAACTATTTTTGAGTGGAGGCAGGGATTCTGATTTTCAATCACACACCATAGCACTGAGCATTCTAGCAAGTTTCTACTTATTAAAAATCACTTGCTACCACATAACAGAAGTTTTATTTTATGTATACTAGCTTACACGGTTAGACTTCGTAAGATGCAGATCCAATGGCAATTATAAAGCAACCAGACTCCCCATGTCTTATGACAGTACAGAATACCTAAGATGCACTTCTTTTATGAACTTCCTGTGCTAACTAGAACGTCTCTCCCCCTTGATTTCCTGCCTAAAAAATTCTCTCATCCTTTGTCTTGCCTGTTTGTACTATGAATACTTTGTGGTAGTGCTGGCTTAAAAAGATATGAAGAAAGCCTCGCAGGTTTGGGCTATAAAGGTACCCACAAAAAAAGGTTATATAAATCTGCTAGGCAAAAGCCTGTGGAACTGTAGTTAAATGGTTGGTATTTTTTTTAATATATTGAAACATTGTTGGTATGAGAACCAAGCTTTCCATGAAAGGGGGGATTTTGAAGAAATCATCCCGTGTGTATTTTAAAATACTGGAATGAATATTGTATTTTAGTAAGTTGCAACTTCGGCTAATCTTGGTTTCCTACACACACAGAATCAGTTATGACTGAAGGGTATAATGTCTGGGTATTCTAGGAATTTGTAATGTTTGTAACTGTTGCCTAACTGTTTGCAGCAATTGCTTGTCACTGTTGTTTGATTATCTATTTCGTTGTAGTAGTTGCTGGCTGTCACTATTTGTATAACTAATTATAAACGTAATGGGTGCAAGAATATTGGTCTCATAAAAGGAGGAGATTGTAAAAACTTCATCTTTGGGATGCATTCTGGGGCACTGGAGAAAGTTTGGAGGAAATCCTCTCACCCAGAAAAAGTTAATTATGCACAGTAATCAGTGGTGGCCTTTGTATGCATATTGCAATCAATATTATTTTGTTATCAAGAGGAAAAATGGGATGAGGTGCTCTATGTTCATTTGTTCTTTGCATTGTGGAACAATTACAAGGCTTGGGAAGCATGTGGATTTGTTAATCACATCACACAGAGAGGCACAGCAGCAAAGATGGAGAGAAGGGAGAGCTGACTCAAAGGGAGAAGAGAGCCTTAGAAGGGACTGGGTGGAACATACAGATCCGGAAAGGTTGCAAAGATTCTGTTCAGAAGGGACTGAGTTAAGGAGGTAAAGGAAATCGTGGAAGATGGGGCGAGGCTGGTGTTGGGGGCTCGGGGAGGCACCACCAGGCACTGCCCACGCCCCGCTGCTGCCACCAGCGGCCCAAGCCCTCTAGGTCCAGAGAGCGACACAGATCCCTGACTGGAAAACCCTGTTCCTGCAAGAGTTATGCATGTGTATGTAACAGGAAAACATATGCTTTAGCTGCTGTGAGGTACAGTATGCACGTCGGGTGCGGCGATCCTCCATGCATCCAGCGCTGCAATGAAGGAATGCTGCTTCCTAATGCTACATCCATGTAACAAGTTTTATTCACGATTTCAGAGACAGCAGG